TTTTTTTTTTTTTTTTTTTTTTTTTTTGACTAATAATGATAATTAAATATTTAAAAGGTTTAAAATTGTGAGATATCTTCTTCTTCTTCTTCTTCTTCGTCTTCTTCATCTTGTTGGATGCCCTAAGCTCTGTTTCTGGCAATGGCTCTGAGAGAGTTCTTCAACACCACAGTAAACTCATACTTCTTCGTGAAATCTATTTTACTGTTCGGCGGAAATGAACTCCATTCAAATTCCTGAACCAACCTCGCTAGCATCACATGAACGTGAATCGTCGCCATTCCCAATCCAGGGCAAATCCTCCTCCCCACTCCGAACGGAATCATCTTCACTCCTTTCACTCCCGTCATATCCGCATCGTCTTCACCGGACGTGAATCTCTCCGGATCGAACTTCTCCGGATTCTTCCACACTTCTGGATCCCTGCTGATTCCCGCCAAATAAACCTCCACGTTCGCTTCCGCCGGAATGTCGTATCCGCCGAGTTTTGTCGCCTCGGTCACCGAATGCGTCAGCGTAAAGTACGTCGGCGGATGTTTTCTCAGCAATTCCTTCACTACGGCTTGAAGGTACGGCAATTTCTCCACATCTGATTCCTCTACTTTTCTGTCGCCTACTGTTTTCTTGATTTCTGCGTGTAGTTTGTTCTGGATGTTAGGGTTTGTGATTAGCTCTGCGATTCCCCATTCGATTGCGGCGGCCGTCGTGTCTGTGCCGCCGTTGAGGAATTCGGAGCAGAGAGTGACTAATTCGGCGTCTGTTGGGGACGATTCCCGGCCGTCGACCTTGAGATCGAAGAGCGTATCGAGGTATGAAAATGAAGTCGCGTAAATGTCTGATCCTGGATTTTGAAGTGCTTTTTTCCTTCGATTGATGAACTGTACGACAAATTCGATTTGCTCTTTTCTCACTTCCATGGCGCGTTTCCTCTGCTTGGAGAAGAACGGCCTCAAAATCGGGAGAAAATCGTCGATTCTCGGATCGACAGTGATCAAAACGGTTTTAAGAACTTGATCCATTTTCTCAACCGATTCCTCGTCCATTTCTAATCCAAAGCACATCGCCAAGAGAATACAGAACACAGCGAATCTAGCATTCTTCAACACCCAAACAGCACCACCATTGGCGGCGGCGTCGGCTCGGATGCGTTCAACGAGATTATCAATGGCGTTTTTTCTAACGTCGTGAAATTCCTTCAAGCTGCTGGAAGAGAGCATGTTCTCGACCATGTTTCGGCGGAGGGAGCGCCAGAGGGAGCCGTAGACGGCGGCATTGACAGAGAATTTATTGCAGCTGAAGACGATTCGGGTTGGATTCTCGGCGGGACGGCTGGCGAAGGCAGGGCCGCGCTTGATTAGGGCTTCATGGATGAGGTCGGCGCCGGACAAGATGATCATGGTGCGAGAGCCCAACTGGAGAGTGAAGATTGGGCCGTAAATCAGGCGAAAGTCTTCGATGTATTCGAAGAAATGCTTGCCGGTGCGAGCGACCTGGAAGAGGTTTCCAACGACCGGCCATCCGCGGGGTCCCGGCGGGAGGTTGAGCCGTTTCTTGGAAATACGTTTTTGGATGAGAAAGAAGATGAGTACAGAGAGTGCTAAGGCCATAAGTGAGAAGAAAAGTTGGAGGTAGTGATCGGAGAAAGAGGACGACGCCATTGTTGAGTTTGGCGAAGGAAGTTTACGACAGAGGGAGAAGAAGGAGTAGGATAGAAGAAGCAATTTTAGAGGGAAATTTATAAAGGTAACCCACAACTCTTGGTATTTTTCTTATTATTAATTATTGTCTTCCATTTTTTTTTTAAAGTATTTGTATTTTTATTTTAAAAGTTTGATATTACTTTTAGTTTTTTTTTTTTTAAAAATAAAATTATTATTAACCTAAAAGAAAAGAATATATATATATATATATATATATAAACCATTAATATTTTATTTTAGAAATACTTATAAATTTTCTAAAGAATCTAAAAAAAAAACTCTAAATTTTTCAGAAGTATTTTAGAAAATACCCTTAACTTCCAAATCTTTAAAATTTTTTAAAAATATCTATAAACTTTTTGAAAAAATTTCTGAGATGTTTTTGAATAGTTTTTTAATTATAAAAATTATATTTACACATTTCAAAAATATTCATGGACTTTGAAAAAAGAATAAAAATATGGATATTCTTAAAATTTTTATGAAAAAATTTTAAATTTTTTATGGTTAATACCTTAAAATTGAAAATGAATAGTATATATTAATACTAATAACTTTTTTAAAAAAATTAATTTATCAATATTAAATATGTTTAATACTATTTTTAAACTTCACAAATATTTTTAAGTAATTTTTTTTATAAAAATAATCGATTTTTTTTAGTAGAAATTTAAAGATATAAACATAATATATAAGTGAAAAAAAAATTAGTTGACTTGCGCATTTAATATTTTAAAAGCAATGCAAGGATAAAGGAGGAATGCAACGTGTGAATTGAGAGCACTTTGTTATATGCCCATGATTAAAGTTCACCTTTTTAACCTAATCTCCTATTAACGGATATATATACATTGTTAGAAGAGTGCTGAAAGTGAGTCTCACTGACTAATTTAAAGAATGAGTTTATAAGTAAAGAAACACATTTCCATTGATATATCTTTTGCACGTTGGCATGAATTCTTTTGGGAAAATCTAAAGCAAAATCATAAGAGCTTATAATACTCAAAGTGGATAATATCATATCATTGCAGAAAGTCAATTTCTAGTGTGTATATATATATATATATAAAATATCTATTTATTTATTTTGAAATATTTTATAAAGTGGTTAAAAGAATAAATAATGAAATAAAACAAAAATAATATATATGTATTTAAATATATTAGGATGACGAAAGTGAGGTTGGGTGGATGTTAAAATTGACATGAAAGTGGAATAATTAAATTGAAAGAGTACAAAGGGCGGAAAGTGTTGATTTAAGGGTTGGTTGGTTGGGGGGGGAAGTTGTGTAAAATTAAATACTCCATTCATTTAAAAACGACACTCTAGAAACCCCATTACTATTTGATATTTTTAACATATTTATCCCCTAATCCCTAATTTTTTTTTGTACAGATAATATATATATATAGAAGTCTAAAAAACTAGAGGTCCGAAAAGAAGTGAAAGAAGCAACGAGAAAAATACTAGAACGACAAGAAATCATATTATTTGATCATAAACCACGACCACCACCAGCTAATAGTACTCTTATCTTGTTGAACAGCATCACTAGAAAACCAAGGATCAAACCAAACAAACATCGCCTAATCCGAATCCGAACACGAGAAATTACCGAACATGAAAATAACCCAAAATACCTAAACTTAGAAGAATCTTATTATGTAATAGAATTGTTTCATGGATTTGACGTTTATGTCACCAAATTATAAGAAGAGGGTTGCCGTTGAATTAAGAAGAAAAAGAAAGAAAACCACCACTTACTTTATTGCTTCAAATACTGTGACTAATTTTATGAACCCACTTTGCATTTAACTCAATCATGGCCCATTTATTTTTCTTAAATTTCTATTTCAATTTATATATGAACATAATTTTCAAAAACTAAAAGGTTATCATATGAAACCGTAGGGTTCATAATGGCATGGCAAGTACTTTGAATTAGTCAAGTCATAATGGCTAAACTACTTTAAAGATTATCATTTATAGGCATCATACAATATACTATTCCAGTTCCTGTTTCTTAGAAACAAAAGGGTTCAACACAAAATTTCATCAAAGATCAAAATTTGGAGATTCAAGAAGGTTACCTCCCAGAGCATATAAGAAATTGGAAAGATGCAATGGCTGGCTCATCATTCTTCCATCCTTCCTCTCTATTATGACACTATTATAGCTTTAATGAACTCCACGCTCGTTCTAATCTTCATCAAACTTGATCTTCTTGGGAGTTGGTTGGACGCTACCCACCTGCAAAATTTTCAAATTCAGCAGAAAAACAAATGGAGGTGGAGGGAAGAAGCCCCTTCCCTTCCTGCAGTATTTCGGGACATTGAATCTCAAATCAAGAAACGTTTTGGTGTGACCAATCGGATCCAATGAGAAGGGGGACGAGGCATCGTATGTTGCTAAGTTCTAACAAGGCATGCACAAGCACATGAGCTAAAACAGGTTTGGCAGTGCACTCTGATAAAACTAAACATCACTTCATCTACAGACAATATACGAATTGATAAAGAGGATTACCTAAATATCATATCCTTAAATTGTCTATATAAGACCATTTTTCACATGGAGATCATGAAAAGTGAGGTGCTCACAGCGGCTAACCGTATGGAAACCATGAACAAGTGAAGTGGCTCACAGAGGCTGTACAATACCAATGTGAGCTCCTGAGAGACGTACACACTTGGTAGGTTCATTCAATGTCTCTTTTGGGTGTGCGCTCCCAAGTTCGTTAGAATCATCCTCTAAGCCATATTCTTTTGGATTGGAGCCATCGTTTCTTTTTCAGGTTTAGTTTTGTTTAGCTCCTTTTTGGACTGCCCTTTTCTAAAACCCCTTTTTCTCATTCATTTTTTTTTTTTTAAAAAAAAAGAAAAACACAGCAAAAGCACCCAAGTTTCTTATGGCATGGGATTTGTTCAATCACAAAGCAGCAATCAGCCAATAAAACTGAGGAATGGGCTAAATATCAATACCAATATTAATAATCTTCAGGAAAAAGAAAATGCTTACAATTTCTGGGCACTCGTAATCAATCCTAGCAGCTCTTATCCTCTTCTGTCTAGCCTGATTCCGCTTCAAGATCCTCTCCACCAACTTCCTGTGCTCACCCAATGTCCTTTCCTGAAAATTATCCAAAAATATGTAAAAAAAATATGTTTGTTTATTGTCTACAAGATAATTCTCCAAACTTGATAGTTGATACCTTGTTATGCCTTTTACGTTCAAGTTCAGACCAGTTTAAGGGAATGTGGCGATAGTTAAAACCTTTCCATCTGTAAATATGTCATATGTCATGATAACACTTGAGCGAAAAATAAACAATATCGGTTGAAATATTCAACAACCATGTCTGTCAACACATGGGTGGAAGAAAATTCTAGCAGCAGAAATGCAATCGATTACTTACAGTTTAGGATGAACATGTTCGGGAGCAATTAGATGAACTTTCAGAATGTGTTCGTACAACAAATAGTTATGCATAGAATCAGCTACAATTTTTGCCACCTGTGCTCACAAAATCCAAATTTAGGATAATATGAAAAACTAAAACTAAGAAAACAATCTGCACAAACGTCCCAAAATAGATAATAGCACCTCTGGAGAATCGAACTCAATGTAGCCAAAATGCTTCGATTTCCCAGTCTGCATACAGAAAAAGTATATATCATAATAGATTAAAACAAAGATGAAGATACTTTAAAAGAACGTTAAATTAAGTCAAGAAGTTATAATTATCAGTAAAATCTGGTGTTTTTTTTTAAACGAAGTCGAACTTTCATTGAGAAAGATAAAGGAATGTATAAGGGCAAACAAAAAACTAAGCCCAACAAACGTCCCAAAACAGCTACAAAAAGGGATTCCAATCAAACAAAATCAAACCAAGACTATAATTACAATAAGGCCTAGTGAGCAATGTCTACAAAGAAGCATTAAACCTAACTACCTCTCAAACTCAATGAAGACTACTCCACATCTCTAAAAATCCTATTGTTTAGCCCAATCCAAACCCGCCACAAAGCACAGAATCTAGTGATTATTGTAATGCAATACTCTCCCAGGAACATATTTTCTTTCTGGAAAAACCTTTTGCAGATAAGAGACTTACTTTTTTATTCCGTGCAATTCTTAATCTTTTGACTTTCCCAAACTGTCCGAAAAACCCTGCAAAAAACTATAGGGGTTAAGACATACGTAGCAGACAAGATAACAATACTCAAACTTCATTCGTTGAATGTAAAATGTGAGCGGCCAAACCTTCCATCTCCTTCTCGAAGAAACCATGGGGTATGCGAGCAATGTAAAGAACAGTAGCAGTACTTTCCAATGGCTTTTGGGCCGGTAACTTACGCCCAGGACCACCCTCCAATGGCTTAAAAACAGAGAGAATGAGAAAATCAGAGGCAAGAGAGATGGATAAGTGCATGAAACCCTAGAGAGATTAAGGGATGGAATAACCAAATCCGAGTCGAATGGATTGATGAACAGTACGACGAACATACATACCAAGAAATCGGCAGATTCCGTCTGGTTGGATATCAGAGAAGTAGCCTTACTGAGTTTCTTCTTCATAGCTTTCTTCGCCTTAGCCCCCATTGAATTCAAGCAAAAGGGAATCAAACCCTAGAATTCCCTAAACTGCCACGAACTTATCGGTGCAGACACAGCAAATTGTAAGCGGAAAGTGAACAATGTCTCAGAGCTTACGATTGAAACAATAAACGTGCATTAGGGTTTAGGTCAGGCGAAATTTGGGAAATTGACAATTTAGCCCCTTCATATTTTTTTATTTGCACAAAATGCCCCTTCTGAAAAATAAAGTATTTTTGAACCCTTTGACTCAATAGTTTAAACAAACACCATTTTGTTATTTTTTTCTTTCAATCATTTGACAATTTATTTAGTGGCTTTTACGAATTGATATGCAATAAACGTGCATTAGGGTATGGAATGCTCATTCGAGAAAGTTGACTCCGTGTATGGAATGCTCATTCGAGAAAGTTGACTCCTAAGTCTAAAACTTGGGAGTTGCTCTCAGAAATCTCATTTTTTCACTCCCACACAAAGGGATGCACATTACAAGTGACAATTACAAGAATGGAGGGAAGTAAATAGTACCCGGCAACATTCAGGGATGGATGGCTTCCTTGATATTAAGATGGGAAAGCAGTCCAGAATTGGATGAGGAAGAGGAAAAACCTAAACTTTGATTATCTCTATCTTTTGAAACGGGCGATTTTTCAATTGCATAGTTTCTTTTAGTACTAAAGACAATCATACTAATAAAACAACTCCTTAGAAACCCTTCATAAATAGGCCAATACACAGTTTGATGAAATGACCTCGAGCTCAAAAGAGTAGCGCAACCAAGTCAAAGTTCAATTCTAGCATAAACGATTACACTCATCATTGTGACAACAGAAAACCACCACCAAGTCGTTGCACAATCTCAAGGAGTCGAATTATCGTTGATGGCGTGTAACATGGTATACAAGAAAGGTTAAAGAGGATCTGAATATGAATATGCCTGTGTAATTAAAACTCATGCCCATTTGAGGAGATAATTCACCAGGCTGTTCTTGTTTATAGTGTTGAAATTCAATAGATCATCAAATTTCAAGAACTTTGAAGATGCAAAGTGCTTCATTCCTGATAGATCAGTTAAGTTGGGAACGATTACAGCAGACAGACAAGTGGGATAGGATGATAGCTCATTCTTGCTTTGCACATAAATCACCTAGCTCAAGTCAACAGCATAGCACACCCATTTATAATACTCCTAATATAACCTACTATGTATTACTATAACAATCTCTTCTAAAGCTTACTCTGAAAATGAGCGTTACGATCGTATTTCGTCATTGTTGCCATCCATATTGTTGGTTTCGGTTTCCGCCCATTGCATTGGAGCCACGCCCAGTACCAGAACTACCAGCATATGGACCATTCTGTGGGTAATTTGGAGCTCCCGCGCCATAACCACCACCACCACCTCCAGCTCCGCCACGAGGACCAGCACCAGACATATTACCAGAACCATATGGTGCACCTCGTCCTTGAGCGTATTGTGCATTGCCATAAGAACCCCCGCTTTGACCACTACGACTTGGGTGGTTGTATCCAGAAGGAGGATTTCCACCAGAGGGATACCTACCAGGACCTGGGGGTCCACGAGGCTTCCCACCAAAATGATGGCTAGGCCCTGCAGCAACGGAGGGTTGAGAACCATGAAGGGGTTGGTTAGGTACTGGTCGCATCTGTGCATGAGCTTGTCCCGACTGCTGTATAGGTGGGAGGCGTGAATGCTGCTGGTGTTGCAACTTCTGTCTCTTTGCAGTTTCTTCATGTTGTCGTTGCTGCTGACGCTTCTTCTTAGTCTGGAACTCGTGTGATGATTCGTACTTTGGCAAACTGGATACGAATGGAAGATTCTTAGAAATACATTGCAAATTCAATGGAAATGATGCGAAATTAAATAAATGTTTACCTCTTAGGGTCACAAGGCAATGGGTCTGTCCAAAAATACTCCGCATCTAGAGCATCCTTAGCAGATATCCTCTATATTTATAGTGAAAAAGAAGTGTTAAGAGTCCAAAAGCAAATTAAGAAAAAAAATACTCCCCATTCCCGTCCCAGTAAACATCCCTACTGGCAGCAGTTGCCAAGCTGATCCCACCCTACACCCCCAAAGCCCAAGCATGTGACCATCGGGACGGTGCAAGACATCATGCTAAATTGTAATAGCAAGTTTTGCATTTATGATTTACCCTAAAATTATATTGAAATGAAGGTGGTCAATATCTAGAAAAAAATAATGGATAGATCTAAGTGAATACCTGAGAAGGATCAAGAGTGAGCATCTTCTCCAACAGCTCTAAAGCATGACGGTCAAAACTACGAAAGGCGAAAATATCACCGTAAAAGGCTTATTAGATTGTGGATACGAACTACAGTGCAGTAAGAAAAGGTAAAGCACTAGTTTAACTTACTGCCTGAAAACTTCTCTAAGACGTCTCTTCATCGGCCTTGTGGGCTTGAAATTGTTGTACCATGGGATTTTAGAAACCCCGGGCCAATTGACTTCATCCGGAGCGCCACATAGCTCAAAGATCTTATTTAATTGTTCCGGCTACAATAGTTAACAAAAAGCTTAAAGGATGCCCGTTTAAATAAACTCACAGTAAAAAGGGCAGCAGAGAATAGTTGCAACGCACAAAGTTCTCACAACTTAATGCTCATGTTCAACAAACATAAAATCAAGAAACAAATTAATTTTGAAAAAAAAAAAAAAAAAAAAAGTCATAAATGATTAACTTTATCTGATATCTCTGATCTAATTAAAAATTACTTGATGCATACTAAATAATTTTTTCTAGTTCAACAATTGTAGAGTAGAGATCTAATCATCCACCCTTGAAGTGGTAGTAACGTATCCATTCGGGCATCTACGTGATTGAATTTCAGTCACGGAGGATGAAAATGCTTCTTCATCTTCTTTTTGAGCCGCAGAGTTCAGCATTCAGGAATTTAATCATGAGGAACTTACAAATTTATTAGGAAATTACAAATAAGGCGTATGATTCAGGCACCACATAAATTAATGAAAACAGAGGACCATAGATACATTAAAATTAAAAATTAAAATAAAAAAGATTGCAAATCTGGTCAATTGAAGATTACTATTGCCCAATATAGAAGGATAAGTCATGACAAGCGACTGCAATATGACTGTTTGAACCTGGTATATATATAATAGAGCTGATTATTTACCTAAACCATAAAATTTAGCATCTTAAAACAATGTTGCATCACATTTCTTAGCTAAGCATAAAAGTTACACAGAAAAGCCCCTACCTCGTCCTTGCCAGGGAATATTGGCTTCCCATGTAGAAGCTCTGCAAAAATACAACCAACAGACCACATGTCTACAGCTGGACCATATTTTGTTGATCCAAGAAGCAATTCAGGAGGTCTGTAAATTGATGATGATCAAAGCTATGAGCAATCAAGATCCTTTTATTTTCAGTTCACACTTCTAGTAATTGAATGAAGAGTCACATACATACGAAAAAATCTGGAGAACTGTAAACGACACAACAAGAAATTTTATGCAAACTAAATTCTAACGTTCTTGATTGGCAGAGCAATATACCTATACCATAAGGTAATGACACGATTTGTTAGATTTGCATTGATATCATTAGAAAATGATCGGGCAAGCCCAAAATCTGCAAGCTTCAGATTTCCTTCATTGTCAATAAGCAGATTTGAGCCTGCAGCACAAACATTAAAACAATAAACTATGCAGCAAAAAAAGGAATAAGAAAGAAGGGATACACATGAATAATTACTTTTTAGTTACCTTTTATATCCCTATGCAGTACTTGATTTACATGACAATAGTGAAGTCCTGTGAGAAGCTGCCTCATGTAGCACTGTCTCGAAAAGAGATGCCACCACAATTCTCATACACCAAAAGAGCTATTGAACAATAAAAAGGGCATAACATCCTTTTTTAGTAAATACCTTGATTTGGGGAACTGAAAACCTCATCCCTGGACGATCAGCAAGACCTGTCAAATCATGGTCCATGTACTCGAAAACCATGTAGATGCCACCCTTGTACTTGTTACCATCTGCACATCTAGGCGATCCATCCAATAAGAAAAACTCATTCCATGCATTCTATACTACAATTTAAAAAAAGGAAAGCTTGCACCAATGCAACTAAATTCTACACAAATGAAAAGAACAAATATAAGCCATTGAAGGCTAATGCTGCAAATGAAGACAGAGAATATGCCTGGCTTCCCTTGTTCATCCTTCTCAGGACCTGCACAAACATACCGGGACTTACAAAATTGTAGAAAATGGGGCAAAAACAACAGTCACAACAAAGAAAATGTAATGTTAAAAACATACCTGGAGATGTCACAATCTCTTTCAATTTGATTACATTTTCATGGTGGAGCTTCTTTAGAATTTTGATTTCTCGAATGGCAGTAATAGGGAACTACATGGACAAACGAATTGAATGTTAAATCACAGAACAAGCTTCAAGCTTAAATAGAGGTATAAAACCAACGGTTTATTTTCCATGGTGAGTAGCGTTGTACTGTAACAGAGCATATTAAGAATCCAACTTAAATGTAAGCTATCATACAAACTTTTGAAATTTCAAGTCTATAACCAGCACTGGAAACTCTGGTCTTCTCATATAATGGCAGAGTAAACTACAATCTTACAAACAAATATAAACTACCGAAGTAAGCCAGATGGTGAAAAGATCTTAGTGAAAGAGAAACATACCCCCTCCCTCTCATTATCCATTCGTATTTTCTTGAGTGCAACTATTTCACCTGTTCTCAATTCTCTGGCCATGTAAACTTGACTGCAAGCACAAAAGCACGTAGGTACAAATTACTCCATACATTATAGCGACAAAATGGACATTCAACAACCAAAGAGAAATAAAATATCATCAACCTTGAGCAGCAAAGTGATTAAAATAATTTATTCAAAGGGAAGTTCCCATATAACCATGAACACTACAGTCAGAAACATGCATATAAATCATATCAAAAGTGAGGAGTCTACCTTAGTGAAAATTGCAGTACTCCATGAACATGAGCTAAGCCTAAAATAATAATCGAAGTGGGCATGAATAGGGGACCATAAGTAACATCATTACCACTGGTTTTTGGTTGTCCATGTGATCTCAGCTCATCGATGGAAAGAAACTACTTTTCTTTTAATTAGTTTGACCATGCTTTCAGTGCTCAGTAGAGGTGCTCCTTAACGTTATCAGTTCATTTCCATTACACATCTATTAGTATCTTAACATTTTATAGTTTTTCATCTAAGAAATAGATGTTAATAAGACACCAGAATACATAAACAGAATGATGTGAAGTATTTTAGTTCAAATGACACAACAGTATCTTTCCCGGATGAGCATTCTTCTCGTCTACTTCAATCAAGCAATAATTCATTGAAAATGCAGTTAATGTGGAAAGCAGAAAAATTGACATGGGACTCCAAGAAAAACAGATGCTATAAGCTCGAGCTCGATTTCATTTTCATTTGATAACTCAAATTCTGGTACACACGGATTCCCCATAAATCCCCATCCACGTTAAGCATAGAGGAATGTATCAATAAATTCATCTATTTTTCATTGAAAACACGATACAGCAATATGTTATCGAATAACGAGGGAGGACAACAGCGAAATTAACAGCAAAGAACGATTCCCAACAAACAATAACTACCGCAGCAGATAATTAAAATAAGGCAGGGAAAGGTATAGGCATGAATAGCAGACCCATAAGTGCCTTCACCAATCTGCTCCAGTTTTTCGAAGCAGTCGACACCTCTAGATCCCCACGAAGGGGACTCGTTAACATTGAGCTGCCCTGGGGCTGTTAAAGCCATAGCCTTCCCTTGCACGCGTAATCTCCTTTCCCTGAAGACACTACTGCGGGATCGAATAATCAGCCATCCGAATGTAACATAAAGACCGACAAATTTAAAGAGGAGAACTTCAAGCAAAATTTTATGAAGAAAAGAAAAGAGAAATCACCTGAATTGGGAATTAGGGTTACGAGTGAGAGGAGTAGCCGGAGAGCTACAAGATTAGAGATAATATGAACCAATTCCGTACGCAGCAGAATGTAGATGAGTGAGGAGAGTCAAGCCCTACGGCAGCCTTGGAACCAAAGATTCGCGCTCTGTTGGGAACTCTTGGGATGACGGTGTGAGGTTGCAGCAGAGCGGGAGATATGGAGGCGCGAAGGCGAAGGCGACGGCAGCGACAGAGAAGGAGATGGGAGACAAGTAAGCAATCAGAGGTGGCGTGACGGTGCAGCGGAGATCGGAGAAAGAATCGGAGATTTCGGCTTGGAGAAAACTGAGCTGAAAGAGGAAGAAATCGGAGTCGGAGAGAGAAGTGGTGGAGTTGGGGGCGGCGGAATCAGAGAGACGCGGCAACGGATTGGTCGAAGACTTGGGATTTCCGGTTTTCCTACGGATGAGATTAAACGATGCGTTTTGAGAGGTTTGTCTTTGACTTTGTCTTGAACCGGGTTCCAAACTCATAAATGAACCGTCGAATCGATTTGCCGAACCGATCGGTGAAGAATTTGAGATAACCTTCCGGTGAAAATATACTTCCAATAATTTTTAAAATTGGTCATTTAAAATTAATTTTTACGAAAGTAATTAAATAATAATAATAATTTCCATTCGAGTAAAAAATATGTTTTTTTAAAATGGGTAATTTAAACAAAATAATAATAATTAATTATAAATACGATTTATTGAAAATATACAGATTAAAATTAGGAAACCGACCAAAATGGTCTTTTCACCTAAAAATTTCTTCTATTTGATTTACAAAACTAAAAAGTATTTAATAAATATATTTAATCCTTAAAACTTAGTCCAATCCTTTACTTCTTCGATATTTAAAAAATGTACAGATATGTTAAGTAAAAAAAATAATAATAATAAAAAAAAAATATATATATATATATTTTTTAATTTTCAAAAACCAAAAATTAAATTTAGCAAATAAATCTACAAATTTAACCATAATTTAACCTAAGATGGTCATTTCATACGAAAATAAAAATAAAACTTAGGAAAAATCAATTATAGTTTCGAAGCTTTAAACAAGTAATTGCATCATCGAAAACCCGGAATCAATTCACATACAGCTAAAACTTTATCTGAAATGTCAAATATATCATAGAAACTTCATCTCGAGCTAGAATATCTAAAACTTCGAACTCAACCCGGGTTCTAAAATCTTGTTTGTTTCCTTTTCATTTTGAGTAATACAATTCAACAGATTTTTGCTGTAAGCTCTTATTGTTTGTTCTTCCTTTCTCAGCCATACAACACAACAGCTCTCAATGAACACTCTCCTTCAGAAATCACCAACTTTTTATTATACCAAACTGAAAAGAAGTAAAGCTCTTCCTCCAAAAAATATATGTAATAATAAGTTAAGAACAGGAAAAACCTCCCTACATGATTCTTTCTTCCAACCCCTTTGTCTTTCTGTGGCATAGGGAAGCAATGTGTGTATAAATAATCGAGCAAGGTCGAGCATATGAGTCTGCTAAGAGTTGGGAACCAGAGTACCGACGTAGCCGACCCCGGCGATGAAGAACGCGAACGATTGTAGGAAGAGGTAGATGAAGTATCGATTCTTTCCGAAGTTGAGATCGTAGCAGCCACAGAAGAAGATGTAGGCTCCAACACAAAGCTCAAGCACATGGAGTCTGTTCATCCACAATCAGAAACAAGAAGGTTAAGTCTAGAAATCTAGAAACTTGAAGTAACTATGTCGGTAATGTATCTCGGCGTGTTTCGATTGCTCGGTTTCCATAGTTCTTAGAAATCGACAATGTCGATGACTCGTAGAAACTAATGAAACAATATGTTTCTTATAGCTAGGAATGCATGTGAATGAGAACTGTAGTTTAGTGTCATATTGGTATGTCATTTATGAAGTGGAGATTATGTTTGACAATTTGAATGGGAGATGCATATGCATAAACCTTTACCTTTCCCCAATCCTAAAACGAGGTTTTCGTGGAGCTTTGGAACCCGGTTTAGTCTTTAGCGCATCCCCCAATTTCTCGGTGACGACCCATTCGTTTACTCTCCCTGCTTCGAATAGACCGATGAATGTTGCCTTCGTTCGGTGTAGTGACATGACGTTCTCGAAGAGAATCCAGAAAATGATCAGGTGGAATGATCTGTAATGTAAGATTATCAATCAAAATTGTATATGTAGAGTATTTCATATTCATCGACTTGGGGTGAAATGCTAGAACTCCTTGTGGTGATGAGATTAGGAGATTAGAATGAAAGTGCAAACTTTTTGTGAGATCCCACGTTGGTTGAAGAGGAGAACTAAGCATTCTTTATAAGGGTGTGGAAACCTCTCCTTAGCAAGCGCATTTTAAAAATCTCGAGGGGAAGTCCAAAAGGGATATCCCAAAAAGGACAATATCGGCAAGCGGTGGTCTTGGGCTGTTACAGATAAGAGGCGGTGAAATAAGAGGCGGTGTGTCAACGAGGACGCTAGGCCCCCAAGGGGGGTGGATTGTGAGATCTCATATCAATTGGAGAGAGGAACAAGTGTTAGCAAGGACGCTGGGCCCCGATGGGGGTGGATTGTGAGATTCCACTTCGGTTGGCAGGGGAACAAAACATTCTTTATAAGGGCTGGAAAACTTTCCCTAGAAGACACGTTTTAAAAATCTTGAGGGGAAGCCCAAAAAGGACAATATCTACTAGCGATGGGCTTGGGTTGTTACAAATGGCATTAGAGTCAGACATCGGGCGGCGTGCCAACGAGGACACTAGACCCCAAAGGGGGGTGGATTGTGAGATCCCACATTGATTGGAGAGTGGAACGAGTGTCAATGAGGACGCTGGGCCCGAAGGAGAGGGGAGCGAAGCATTCTTCATAAGGGTGTGGAAACCTCTTTCTAGCAAACGCGTTTTAAAAACCTTGAGAGAAAGCTCGAAAGGAAAAGCCTAAAGAGGACAATATCTACTAGCGGTGAGCTTGGGTTGTTACAAGATCAACATAATGCTATACTCACTTTTTCATCTTTTTCATTCCGAAAACCTCGAGGAAAAGGTTCTTTCTTTCCCTCTTAATTTCGAACAAATGAAGATAGGATGAAAGTTTGCAATTCTGACATAAAAAAACAAAAAGGTAAGAATGCGACCTCGGAGTTCCAACGGCGTTAAGGAGCGTGATCGTCGAAGGAATATAAATGGCACCCCATCTCGGCACCGACACTTCAGGAACCAAGACCGTAGCAGGCAAAACAACACAATAAAAGACAAACGTGACGATGTGGGCAACGATCTTCCGAACAAAGAAGAAGCTATAGATCAGGTAAAGCTTCTTCCACATGGAGACTTTCTGCAGGCACATAGAAAGCTAATGGTGAGAAGCATGAAGAAAATACAACCCCAATGGAATCAACATATCAAAGGACTACTAAAACCATGCCTTGTTCTTCATGATTTCAATAACCATCTTTTTGAAAAGGTTAGCTGGACCGCAAGACCATCGGTGTTGCTGATATCGATAGGCTTTGAAGGTACTCGGCAACTCGTTCTTCACCTGAAAGAGCTAACATTTGAAGAACCAAGAACTTTGTCTAAAAGCAAAACCAAATGAAAAAAAACGACTAAGTGGTAAGGAGGAGAGGAGAAGGGTGCTTGGGCCCTGACACGAAAACGAGCAGGAGATAATAGGAAGAGGCTAGGAAAGATTCAACTACTATCAACAGTGCAAATATGGTCGGTGTGAATGAAGGAATAGGAGGAGGAGTCTTCTACCCACAATCTCGAAATCATAAGTCAAAATCTTGAAAAAAAGGATCTTTAAGAACGCCAACCTTCATATTGTTATCTACTAGTTGAATGACCGTTCGACACTGCTTAAACTTACGTCGGAGTCAACCTCAAAGACATCACCACGAGGTGGAGGGTTCTTTGTTGAGTGAATAGCTCCTTTATTAAACCGAGAGTGAGATCTAAATGAGTGAAGAGAAAATGGTTGTCGTCGGATAAGAAATCAAAGGAGGCTATTGATTCTCTATATGTGAGAACCCAAATCGGTTGGGGAGAAGAACGAAACATTCCTTATAAGGGTATACAAACCTCTCCCTAGCATACGCGTTTTAGAAACCTTGAAGGGAAGCCCGAAAGGGAAATCCCAAAAATTACAATATCTGCTAGCGGTGGGCTTGAGCTGTTACACAAGGGATATGGTTCAAAAAAATAAACATTCTTGATATGTTTCATGCTTTCAAACTCTATAACACACCTTTTCCAATTCCTTTTGGTAACAAGTCTTGTTAAATTAAGGTCGTTTTTCTTTCGACTTAAGTTCTTATCTCCTTAGAACTCGAGGACATAACTATAGAACGGACAGAACAAATCCTATTCAAGTAAGATCAAGGTCCTTAGATTCAAACTCCCAAGCAAAAACTCAACTATTTAACATCTTATTCTCACCTAGAAGAGGCCTTGATGTAAATGATGCCTCGCAAGAACTAGCAGAGATGAACCAAAGCATAATACACAGAGCGAGCCACACGATAACCGTCATCGAAAACGAAAAACGAAGTAGAACTACCTTAAGGTCGCCAACATAGACGAACTTCCAGCCTTTGAGGCTAGCTCGAACAGCCAAATCCATATCTTCAACAGTCGTCCGATCCTTCCATCCACCAGCCTCATTCAGTGCAGCAATTCTCCAAACACCTGCTGTGCCTGCCAGAACTCCATCGTTTTCAGTAAGTTCAGTGCTCAAAACATGCATAGATTAAAGCCATTAACAATGTCTTAAAATCACAGCTCACCATTGAACCCAAAAAATGCATGAGTAGCAGAACCAACTTCTTGCTCCACTTTGAAATGGTAATCTAATGACATCTCTTGCATTCTCGTCATCAAACATTCATCAGAGTTCACTACAACAGTCCCAACAAAATCAACTTCAAACTCATCAAATCTAAACTAGTTTATTCATCAGATCGGCCTCTAAATAGTTCAAGTTTCAGAAAATTTACACGAAATCGAGTACTTAAGAACGCTTACCGAACTTCCAGCGAGCTTGAACAAGAGCGATTTCGGGATCGTTCGTGAGAAATGGAATGGCGCGCCAAAGAAAATCAGGGTCAGGTTGGAAATCGGCATCGAAAATAGCGACATAATCGCAGAGTTTAACGTAGTTGTGCTTCATTCCCTCTTTTAGCGCCCCTGCTTTATACCCATTTCTGTTGTCTCTAATCTCATACTTTATGTTTATGCCTTTGCTTGCCCATCTTTTGCACTCTAATTCCACCAGATCCTGTTGATTTTTGGTGCAAAATTTCACAAACCCACATCGGAAATCCGCAAAAGAAAAATGGGTTTCAGCCCAAATTTGTGTTCGTCGCTGATTTCGATGGAAAATTTCGCAGCGAGAAGTTCTTCCAATTTTCTTTCGATCGTAAAAAATGGGTTGAGGAAGAAGAAGAAGAAGAAGAAGGAATCAATCTTGTTTGGAGAGATTATGCTTTTCAGCTTAAGAAAATTGTTCATTTAGGTTAGTTTTTGTGAATTTTGTTAATTCGCTTCCATAAATCTTATCTGTTTTTACCTTTTGTTGTAATTGGTGGCCTAAACTCTAATTTGGAGATTAAATAATAATTAAACCAATTAAAAAAATATTTACCTTTCCAAGAATGATTCTATAATAATTAAGATTTTGAATTTAATCATAAGCTTAATCCATTAGAACTACATAAAATTATTGTAAATTTTGAGCGATAAATTATTTTAAAAGACCAAACCTTAATAAAAGAATCGGTAGAATCATCAAGAACTTGAATTATGATCCTATCAGATGGCCACGAAAGCCCACATGCTGCTCCGATTGATAATTGATAAACCTGTTGCAAAAGCTCACATCGTTAAAACAATCCATCAAAGAAAACGCTTCAATGAATCTCAAAACTTTATGACATGACCACAAAATCCAATTTGTAAAATGACAATACGAGCATAACTCAATTAGTTAAACCATATATCATCAAACCAAGAGATTTAGAGTTCAAATCTTCCAACTAAGTCAGGCTTACTCAACTACAAAAACAACCCACTAAAGAAAACGCTTCACTGAATCAAAAAAATTCTCTAACATGACCACGAAACCCAACTCGTGAAACGAATAAGAAAACGACAATACGAGCATAGCTCAACTAGTTAAACTATATATTATGGAACAATTTAGAGTTCAAATCTTCCAACCCACTCATGCTTTCTCATGAACTACAAAAACAACCCACTAGAGAAAACGCTTCACTGAATCCAAAAACATTCTAACATAACTACGAAACCCAATTCCTAAAACGACAACAGGAGCATAGCTCAACTAGTTAAACTATATATCATCGATCAAGAGATTCGGAGTTCGAATCTTCTAATCCAAACTATAGGTAAGTTCTCGATGAACTAAAAACGATCGAAAAATTTAATCTTTTTCACCTCTCGCTCATTGTACATAGGAATTTGAACCAAAACCATGGGATAAGCAAAATGGGCAAGCTCAAGATCATCTTTAATGGGCTCCCACTTGTAAGTTTTGTGGGGTTTTTTTCTAAAGAGCTTAACAAAGAGAATGACAATGCCCATATAAACTCTTTCAAAGAAGAGCATTAGGGACATGGCCAAACAGGCAGCCACAGAGAGCTTCAAAAATGGTGCAATCAAAGGGGCAGTGGTTTGGTGCCAAAAGAGACCCATTTGGGAAGTGATCAGCAGCCCTTCCGCCATTGATGAAGCCTTTGAAGAACTGCCCAAGAACTTGAAGGTTTTAAAGAGAAGAAGAACAACAACAACAACACTGTTTTTTGAAGTGGTTTTTGCTTGTGGGTTACTCAAAAAAAACAAAGAGTGTCAGAATGTTTGCTTTTGTTTGTGGGGAAAATGGATTTTGTGGGCTTTTGTTCTTCTTCTCTCTCTTGTTTTTTAGAGAGAGAAGTTGAATGATTTGGATTTGGGTTTGGTTTTAAGTGTATTTATATCATGAAATTTGATTGTAAATAGTGATGAGGAAGGAGATTGAAGACGTAATTTAGTGTCAATGATATTCGGGTGCGTATAAATATCGTAGGGTTGTGAAAACACCGTTTTCTTCCATATGTTTGGGTTGCGTATCTGGTGGGGTTGGCTCCTCCGTTTGTGGGAAAATGGGAAACCCGACTCTACAAATTCGAGGAAAAGCTGCACAACCGTAGCAAGGGTATTCGAGTTCCAGTGGAATCCAACTTTATTTATGCTGCTAACTCATAGTTTGCTCACACTTCTATGATCCGGGAACAATAACAAGAGAGAGCTCGTAGCGTCCTTTCTCTCTTTGAGGAGAGAAAGAAAAATGCTTATAGATATTGTCCGCTTTAACTCGTTACGTATTGTTGTCACCTTCATGGTTTTAAAATGCGTTTATTAGGGAGAGATTTCCCTCCTATATGAAATGTTTCGTTCTCCTCTCCAACCAATGTGGGATCTCACAGTCTGGGTATTATCGACCTAAACCCTAAATGTAGTCTGAGATCTTCTTGATGTATGATTCGTTTCAAATGGCTTATCTTAAACGTAACGTGGATGATAACTTCTCGATTTTAATCGACTATCTAGATCAAAAATCTCTTTATAACTCACGAAAGAGACTATCTAATCCCTCCGATTAAGATGGATTAATCGAGATTAAATGATTTCAATCATAAAACCACTTGAATGTCCAATCAGAACTTCACGATCAATCAATGTTTTTTTTTTTTTTTTTTTTGGGTTTTGAAAAATGCATGATTCCTAACACATTATTGATTTACTCTCCATCATTTCACAATTCCACCAATAGCTGCAAAATCAAGTAATCTCTCCAATGGGAAATCTCAAACGTAGGTAAAGGATATAGGACCGAGAAGACCGATACTCGATATCTCTCGTAGGGAAGAGAACGAAACATTCTTTATAAGGGTGTGAAAACCTCTCTTTAGCAGACACGTTTTAAAAACCTAGACAGGAAACCCGAGAAGACAAGCTCAAATAAGACAATATCTACTCGCGGTGAGCTGGACAATAAGCTCAAAGATGACAATATTTACTAACAGTGGGCTTGTGCTATTACAGTATTTATCGTGAATTGTGCTCCGAACCACAGACCTTTTAATCCATTTATTGTTTACAGGATCGAATAGGGGTCTAAACCTAGGAGATATTATTCTCAAATTTGCACTGAAAAACTTTCTCCCTCTAGCTCTAGTTCTCGTTCTCGTTCACGATTCCTTTTCCATACTCAATTATCTGAACTGAAAAATGAACTACTTAACTCGACTACGAGATGAATAAGAGACAAAATAAGCAATAACATCTCTCATAATACATAAAACAAGTATTGGGCAACCTCGAGGGCTTTTCTTTTTTATATCTATGGTTGTTCGAGCACGTCTCGACAACATTAACGGGACAACTGTATAACCATATTCATATACGAGTCGAAAATGTCGAGAAACTTAATGAAATCAATGAAAACAACCCACGAGTTTCTTAAATCAAAAGTGGTGGAGTGTCAAAGCTTGGGAGACAAGTTTAGATGAAGAGGTGGAGTGTCTAGCTCAAAGCTCATTGTGAAGTTGTTCAAAAAGACAATGGAAGCTTAGCTTGAATCACAAGCTTTAAGAAAAAGATGTCATTTTTTATGTCTCCAAGCTTTTAGGCTGTCTGTCTATGAGTATATCTCACCAACCATTGTGCTTCAACCCATACCAAACACAAATAAGGCTAAGCTATGACCTAAGAATTGACCTATTTTTATGGCAAACCATATCTCTCGAGCCAAACCCGATGCTTTCCTAACTTCTCAAGGTAGAAAGTTACTCGAGGTTCGTATTGGGTTGGCTTGTTCTCGAGTTTATAAAACCTGTGTTTTGGGGTGAGAACAAAGTAACGTCTTCGTTAAATATCACAAACCAAAGTAATTTAGGTCACGATGCTCGGTTTCATGCAACCGAAGTCGATGAAGGAGTTAACAACAAACTATTTGAGAGCATAGACCGTGTAACGACTAGGTTAAAAATTGAATTTTTTTAAAATTTGCTATCCTCAAATATTAGAAGGCTTTGCTCCCATAGGCCCATACAAGCTTTTTGGCCCAAAGATCCAAACCAAGGCCCAATGATTCAGGCCCAATAAGCTCGTAAATGCTAGCCCATTGAGCCGGCTCATTGGCGCGCTGCCCTTGTTTTGCTTCCTTTCCCTCGTCGCGCATTTTACATCTTCTTCAGTCGATTTCGATTTCTTTCACCATTCTCGCTTTCCTGGTTTGCTCGAAGGCGGCCATTATAGAGAACTTGAAAGCTTGAAGGTAAGTAGTCCTTTTTATTTTTTTACTTCTCGTTCTGTTTTCCATTACGAGTTTTCAGCCTCGGCATTGAACGACTGAGAAATGATTAACATGTGTCCGTTGAGATAGCTGGAACGATTATCTTTCTAGGCTTTTGAATTTGTATTTTAATCATGAAATTTTCGGAATTAGATTAAACGGAATGACGGAGGACAAGCGGAACATTCTTGACCATTGTCGTCGACAGCTAGCTGCGAAGTTTGAGTTGAAGCGGAAGCTTTTCAAAGCCGTTTGCAATGATCCGAGTCTTCCCAACGATGTGCGTGAAGAGCATCGTTATAAGCTGTCGAAATTGCCAAGGAATAGTTCGTTTACTCGACTGAGGAATCGCTGCATCTTCACCGGTCGACCTAGGGGTGTCTATCAGCTTTTCCGTGTTTCTCGTATCGTCTTCCGTGATCTGGCATCCAAAGGTCTTATTATGGGTGTCAAGAAATCTTCTTGGTAGATACCGGTACGAAATTGTTCTTCAATTTACATTTTCATTCGAGCTGTATGGATATCCCTTTCATGCTGGCGGAGTTTTCGATAGTTCAATGTTTAGTGTATGATAATGAAAGTAGGTATAGAACACATACGTTGTATTAAGCTCCATTTGTTGAGTATTGAAAAATTAAATTATTTTTATTGGTAACGTTGTATTAGACGGGCCAGCCATGAATTTTTGTTTTCCTCCATCGACTTTCTCGACCAATGGAAGCTTGATTTTACTCTATAGTCAGTGAAATTGATTGTGATAGAGATTGATTCATCACTGTCTGTACAAAACATTAATGATGGGATCTGTTAGCTTAGCTGTTTTCACTAGAAGCTGCAGGATTTTGCTGTTAAAGATTAAGATGCAGTTTCTGGCTTGATTTATGTTTGCACTCACATTTTTTACTAGGTATGTTTAGTCCATATATACAGATCCGAGTTTCTCTTTAGTTTGTTCATTCCCATTGCAGTGGTTGAAATAATTTTCGTACTATTTTCTTACTACTTTTTTAGACTTGAAGAAACATATGGCTAAACATTCAAAAATGTATAACTTGGTATCGATATTCCTTACATTTCCTCTATTATTATAAGATGATATTAGTATCTCACATACCTTTCCTTTCAAGTTTCCTCATCTCTGTACCAGATAAAAAACTTACACTCTGTATATTTAACTTGGTGTCATAAGAATGTCTTTTCTATTGAGGAGAAACAAATGGAGTAAATAATTTGTGCCCTATCCTTTTATCATAAGCTCGGTTGTATCTTTTTATGTATTTGCTATGATTTAATTTCTACTTGTGGTGATCCACTCCAAACACTAATAAAAAGCATGTAAACAACCTTACATGTACAGGGTATGTACTATAGGTTGAGCAAATGTGTCCTCGAGTTCTAACAAATACAAAGCATGTAAACAACCTTACATGAACAGGGTATGCACTGTAGGTTGAGCAAATGTGTCCTCAAATTATAACAAATACAAAGCATGTAGATGCTGTAGCCACTGAAGTATTGTGGTCATGTTCCATGTCCTTTGGTTGGTTTTGTTTACGCTGACTGGTAATTGTGCATCATGTGCAGGTTGATGGTAGAGACTTCTATCGTGGGGATCAATTATCATTGTTGGGTTGTTATATTTCTAAAAGATTCTCAATTATAGACACTGGAAAGGGTGATGTTAGTTGTAAGTTCCTTGGACATGTGTATTCATGCCCGTTTACATGTATGACCAAAGAAGAGTTAAGGTTTTTTTCCTTATTCAATAAGGGTTTTCTGGTAGATTGTTACTAATCTGTTGTATTGTTCTGATTTAAATGGTTATTTTACCTGCCATCGAGTTGTTTTGCACTATCTTTGGTGACCATTTCCTCTTTTACTGCATTTTCATCTGAGTTTCAGCAAAGATGGCCTAGCAAAGAGTCGATCTAAATAGTATAAGGGCTTAGAGTGAATAGTTTCGAGCCCACCTTCCTAGGATTTAATATCTTACAACTTACAAGTTATCTGGACAACCAAATGTAGCAGGGTGAGATAGTTGTCTCGTGAGAATAATGGAGGTGCATGTAAGCAGATTTAACACATGGATATTAAACAATAAATACTTCATCTCCCTGCACTTTTGTCAATTATTATCTTCATTACATAGATGATTGCTGATGCATATGACATGTGTAGGTTCATCCCATCTCATTTATATGCTGTCTTTTTCATACACAGATTATGTACTATTGCCTATCCATTCCCATAGAACTATTGAGACATTGAACCTATGTCTACCATTGTGAATGCAGAGACTTAAGTTCAACTAATTAATAATTAGCGCAATTAGCGTCGGGCTTGAATGTTTGTGTAGGGGGGGCTAAGCTTATCAGTCGAGGCAGATTCAGCTGGTTACAGGTAATCTCAATTATGACAACTCTATTACCTTTCTTATCAATTTAAGATTTCAAATGCCGTCTATATTTCTTTACTACTCGAGTAATAATATATGGGGTCTAAAATAGGAAAGCATGTAAAATTATGTGTTCTTGTCTTCCTAAACATGCCCAGGCTTTATATCAATTGGTAATAAGGGCAAGGGCGACTAGGTTAGCTTTGAGGAAGCTTAGGAACAATGTAGTCCTATGTGATTTGTTTTAGCCCTATGCAGCTCCTGTTGTAATATATTGGTGCAAAACAATGCACCCTCCGTGTATTGTGATCAATGTATTCACAAGATCTCCTGTTTTTCAAAAGCATGAAAACAAAACAAGCTTATATGCTATATACTTACTTATGCTCTTCCTGAAGATTGATAACAAGAAAAGAGGTCAAATTATATTGATAATGTAACAATCCGCCAGGACATTTTCTCTTTGGCACTCCTCTCAAGGTTTTTAAAACACGCTTGCTAGTGGGAGGTTTTCACATTCTTACAAAAAATGTTTCGTTCTCTTCTTCAACTGATGTAGGACGAGATAAAATCTCCAAACATAAGGTTTATCATTCTAGACCAGTGATTTTTGAAGAACATGTTTGGCTTCAGATGTACGCTTAATGTGGTGTTCCACATTGGTTGGAAGGAGAACAAAACATCCTTTATAAGGGTGTGGAAACCTTCCCCTAGCAGATGTGTTTTAAAGCCTTGAGAGGAAGGCCCGAAAGGGAAAGTTCATAGAGGACAATATCTGCTAGCGGTGGGTTTGGGCTGTTACATTCAAGTTTTTGTTTTACGACTTGGCTCATTCTTCAAGCCCTGTTTCTTCTCCCTCCCCCCTGCTCCTTGAGGGTACCTTTCTTCCCCCTCCTCGTTCTTTCTGTCATTGTCATTGTCATTGTCATTGTCATTGTCATTGTTTTTACGGTTGTTTCGGCTTCTGTTTTTAGTTTTTTAACCACAGTATAGGAATTTTTCTCAACGCTTGGGGTTTTCTTTTACTGTCTGGAAAATGATTCTCAAGGTCTTGAGGGAGCTTTTGCTCATACCCGCGCGAGTCAAAAGCGCCGGAAAAGCTTATTAATGAAAAAGGAAAAAGGTTTGAGAAGACGCAAAGACTATGGATGGAGAAACCATAGAAAAAAAAAAAGGGATTTTGATTTCAATAAATGGCCTTTTAGAAAGTGGCTTTTTATGCTTGCATTGCCCCTCTCATTTAATTTAACTTTAGACCAAGAATTCAAATCAATACCTCTTTAACACAAAAAAGTAGAGATACCTTAACTAGTACAGAGTCAAGAACGTTCTCGATGAACCAAATAATTTTACTTTGTGTTTACATATATTTGAATTCGGTGGTATGTCATATTGCCCGCACCCTCCGTCTAAGTGACTCGACTTCCCATTGTCTAGGTACCTTATGCATACACTTCGAGTCATTCCATTCTCAACCTGTGATGGTGAGACTAAAGAAATCATTCAATATAATTTGCCAAATTTCTTATAACTACTATTTAATAATTTTTTCTCTGACAGATTTTTTTTTAGTCAATTGAATTATGCTGATCATATTTATGAAACATGTTAAAGAATTATATATAAATATATATATATGAGGGGATTAATTGGTGGGAATTTAAGTTGAATTGATTTATAGTTGGGTATAAATGAGATGGGGCCTTGTTTGGGGCAACTGTACCTGTCGCGTTAATTCTTGGCGGATGCCTAAGTTTAAAGGTTAAAAAAAAATATTATATATTAGTCATGATTCATTTGTATTGAATTTAAGTTTGGGAATCTATTTTTACAAAATTTTAAGTTTTAAATTTTAAACATAATATATATTTTAATTTTACATAATATCAAATATGTTAGAGATATCTTCATTTAATTACAATATCAAATCGATCATATCCAAAACATTGATGTATATGATTTTCATTTAACATTTGACAAATCATTATAGGATATATATATATATATATATAGTTCATCAATCATTTGTCATTTTATTTATTTATTTATTTATTTATTATTATCATTATTATTTGCTAACCAAAGCCCAAACTTTTTCCATGAAATAAAATAAAATAAAATAAAATAAAATAAATCACCCTCCAAAATTAGTGGGAAAATGGGTGACCACACCATGGCAAAAGTCATCCTAATTATGTTGAGAGAAATTCAAAAGAAATCATTAAATTCCAATAAAAAAATTAAAATTAAAAGGACCCTAGCTTCTTAATTTCTCATCATGCCACTCAAAAAAAATATTTGGATTTTTAAATATTATTTAAATTTGGAAAATATTTGTACGAAAATTGATTTTAAAGATATGATTATAATTTATGATGTAAAATTAGTATATATAATTAGATATAGTGGGTTAGCGAGGAGTATGATTTATTTATTTATTACGTAACTAAATATAATAAATTAATTTATTTTGAAGATTTTAAAAAAAGCATTACGGTCTCCCTCCCCACCTCCTATTTTAATATATACTTAAAGAGGACAATATCTGCTAGCAGTAGTCTTGACCGTTACAAATGGCATCAAAGCCAGATAGTAGGCTAGGAGGAAAGAAACTGAGTGTCAGTTCCAATAACCCTACAACATTTTGAATGTATGAATATTTTTTAGACTAAGGTCAAAATTTAAAAGTTTTTCTTTCATTATTATTAATTTAGCTATTAGATTAAAACAAAAAAAAGATAATATATAGTTATAAACTATATATTATACATGATTTTGAGGTGAAAAGTAGATGTGAATACGTGTGCAAGAAGTGGTCCAATAAGCCTACAACAAAACAAAGGGTCAAATATTTGGGGTAGTCGTTTTTACGTGTTGAATATATCTATTATCTATGAAATCATTACTTCACTCATTCACACGTTTCCATACTCACCCATTCATTTTTAATTCTTTTTTTCTCCTTATTTGTTTCTATTTTATTTTTTTAATTATAATTTTCACTTGGAAATAATATATAATTTTTATAAACATTTTTATTTTTAATTTTAACCAAGTTAATAAATGCTTTTATTTGAAATATTGCAAACGCATATCATCATTTAAAATGAATAAATAAATTATACAAAACACAACGTAAATTAATAATAATTTCTAATAGTCCTCGTGGAAAATGTGATTTTCACCTTAAAATTCATATTAAGAAAATAATAATTATTAAAACATTTATTTACTTCTCTAATAAATTGACATTTATCCAAAACCGTACATTTTTTTCATTTATTATTTTAAAAAATAATTATTTTAAATTTTTTATTAAAAATTGTAAAAAAAATCCTAATAAATTAATATATTTCAAAAGGAAATATTTTACCACCATAATTTTTAAAAATTTAAATTTTAATAGTGAAATGAAATTGGAGGGTATGGAATATAATCTCAATCCTATTTCTACCTCTTTAATATTAATTATTAATTATTAATTATGAATATTTTATTATTTGTAAAAAAAATAAAAAGGTAAATGCTTGAGAGTCGAGTGGGAGAAAATAAATAAAATAAAATAAAAAAGGAAAATGAAAAAGCGACACTTTAATTCCACTCGTTTTCGGCCTTTATTTATTTATTATTTATTTATAATATTTCTTCGTTCTTCCCTGTGGTCCAGGTCTTCACTGCACCTTCGTCGCTACTTCCTTGGCTTCTTCTTCTCTCTCTGAACTCTCATTCTTCATCTCCGCTGGAAGACTTCTGGTTGGGCTTCTGCGCCTGTATGTATCTGATCGGTTAGTCCTCTGCTGCTTCTTTTTTGTTTTCCCTTCAGCAATCTGTCTATTTATGGATATTCCTCATCGATTCTTCGACTTTCCGAATCTGGTTTTCCAACTTCGGGAGCTGTGTACTGATTTCATGTTTAACTTCGCAAATCGCCCCAAGGTTGGTGGATTTGAGAGTTTTTGCTGTGTTGCTGATTGTATTCACTGTGGAGGGAGTAGATTTTGAGTGTTTGGATTCTGTTCTTTTACTAGTTTGAAGCTTGTGAATCTGTCTTTTTTTTTTTTTTTTTTTTTTTTTTTT